CGAAGAAAATTGTTTGATATAGATTTCATACCTTTTCTACTTTATCTCCTACGTTTTCCGCTTTTTCATCATTTTGTTTTTGGTTTTTCTTCGTAATATAGTTTAGATAATTTTTTTATCTTTTTTAGATAATTCGGAATTATAATATTACGTAATCGAAAAATCCAAATTTTATGATATTACATAAATTATAAAAAAAATTCAGTTTTGTATAACTTTATATATAAAATATAAATTTTATTATATAAAATATAAATCATTCAAAACATTAGTTTAAAAAAAACTTATTCGTTATAATAAATATATATAACTCATATTTATTTGAATTGTATCATAACATAAATTATATTAAATTTAGTATTTCAAATATCTTATATAAATTTTGAACTAAAAATGAATTATCTAATATTTTTCAAGTAAGAGATTCTTACGTCTTTTAACAATCAAAAGGTAAAAAATGATGAATATTTGTTTTTTAATCAATTGTAAGTTTTAGGTATGTTCTTAAAGATAACAATCACCAAATTTTATATTAGATAGTATTCTATCACAATATATCGGTGGTTTTAGACCTAATACAATATCTTTCTTTCTTTTTTTGCTCAAGATCCATATTTCAAGATCCATATTCGATTCATATTTCTAGGACAAGAGAGGAAGCTAAGGCAGTGTAGGAACTAATGTGATTTAATTATCCATCATATGCTGACGTGACTTAATTCCCATCACTCTCCGTAGTCCTAATTACACCTCTCGCAGATATTGTCTATGTTTATGAAGATTTTATTATTTTGTGCATTCCAATATACCAAATGATCCAGAGATGGCTATTATTTCGATAATTCTAGGGAATTCTCGAGACTTCATTTTCCAACAATGGAAAATCAACGCAATGCACTAAGCTAGTGTCATTCTTGGAGGGTTTCTTGATAAAAACACAAATGTTTGTCATCAAGTGATATCTTCATATCTCTCAAATAACTCAGAGATAAATGATCAAACCATCCGCTTTCATTTCAGTGGCAATCTTTGGGAGAAAGTTTCATGATGGAACAAAAGCA